TTGAACCTGCAGAGGTTGCAGTGAGCCAAGATTGCACCACTGCACTCTCTGGCCTGGGTGACACAATGAGACTCCGTCTTAAAAAAAAAAAAAAAGAGAGAGAGAGAGAAATCCAAGCAAATATAATCAATCATGTTCTTTAATCTGACCACTTGCTTGTGGGGATTGGAGACTGATATATGGATAATTAACTTTTAAAAATACCACAGAGTAAATTAAACATATATAGTGCCTACCCTATAACCCAGAAATTCTATAGGAAATGATTCAATTTGTTCACCGAAGGACTTGTTCAATATTGATAGTAGCTTTATTTGTAATAGACAAAAATACAGACAACTCAAATGTCCATCAACAAATGAATGGATAAACTAGTTGTGGTATAGCCATACAATAAAATAGCAGAGGGCAATTAAAAAGAATAAACTACCAATATACACAACAACATGGATTAATCTCTCAGACATTTTGTTGATTGGAAGAAACCAGACCCCAAAGAGTACACACTGTGTAATTCTACTTATACAAAGTTCAAGAACAGCCAAAACAAATCAATGTCAATAGATGTGGGGATTTGAGACTGATTAGAATGGCAGTTATGGCCGGGCACAGTGGCTCATGCCTGTAATCCCAGCACTTTGGGAGGCCAAGGCAGGTGGATCACCTAGGGTCAGGAGTTTGAGACCAGCCTGACCAACATGAACCCTATCTGTACTAAAAATAGAAAAATTAGCCGGGTATGGTTACATTACAGGCGGGAGCCTGCAATCCTAGCTACTCAGGAGGCTGAGTCAGAATTGTTTGAACCTGGGAGGCAGAGGTTGCAGTGAGCCACACTCCAACCTGGGCGACAGGTGAGACTCCGTCTCAAAAAAAAAAAAAAGCAGTTACCTCTGGAATATTATACTGGAAAGGGTCTGGAGGGAACCTACAGGGATAGAGGAAATGAAATGTTTTCTGTCTTATTCTGAATGGTGGTTATCTAGGTAACTAGGTAACTTCAAGCTATACACTTAAGATTAATACACTTTATTGGATATATGCTATACTTGGAAAAAGGAAAGCTGTTTTGTAAAACATCCACAGTGTTTTTTTTTTTTTTGACACGAAAAGGTGTCTCATGTCTTTCTTTATAAAATATTAAAAATCCAACTTTATCCTGATTTTAAGTGGAAAAGGAATAAAATGACAATAAAAAAATAAGAAGTCACCACTAAATATGAATGTGTGAAGCCATTGTAGCAGTCCCCTATCTGAAGCACAAACAGGAAGTAACTCTGGTGCCCAATAGCATAGAGGGTTTTTCCCCCCCTCTCCTCAGCATCCCAAGGATTAAGCACACGCTCTGGCCAGCACGCAGCCCGAGTGACCTCACACGACAGTGCCAATAAAACCAGACTCAGACACCAGACTCCACTCCAGTCCCTCCAGGTCCTTATTGTCACCTGCGAAAGCAGCTGTCCTTGCAATCCCCACGTTCTGCCTGTTGTATTTTTAACTGAAAGTAGATTACAAAATAAATAAAAAATCCATCTATTTCTGAAAAAAATTATTTTTATATTTTAAAATCCCATTTCTATTTCACATGACAGTATTAGATGAGTCAGCTACGTATCTGTTCATTTTAACTCTTTTAAAATATTTTCTACCCTATTTTTATCCCTCTTCTATTCATTAGAGAAGGTCAAAGCCACAGGAGTGCAACCATAATAGGAAAAAAATCCTCTCTATCTAACAAGGGCTAGCTAGAGCTGGGGTTGGGAAGAAGGGCCAAGCACTCCCCTCTCCCACCCACCCGTCATCACTAACTGTCAAATATTTACTTTTGGTAAATATTTTGGTCTCTGAACCAAAGATAATACCCTAAGAAGGGGTGAACCAATCCTGTTTTGGTTGGTTCCACTCCTTCTTTGCTTCCTCCACCTATTTCCTGCATTGCTCTTTTTCTTTGTAAACAGATACAGGCTTTCAGCGGGTGGGAGAGCAGTGTTAAAATTTTAAAAGTAAAACACACGAATCTTGAATGTTTAGTTTAATGAATTTTTACACATGTATACATGCACGTAAGCACCACCTTGATCAAAACATGGAACATTTTGGGGACCTTAAAAGGCCCCCTTTTATTTCCTCCTAACAATGGGTCCTCTTTTTTTTTTTTTTTTTAAGACAGTGTCTGCTGGGCCTGGTGGCTCATGCCTGTAATCCTAGCACTTTGGGAGGCCGAGGCAGGAGGATCATTTGAGCCCAGGAGTTTGAGACCAGACTGGGAAACATGGCAAAACCCCATCTCTACCAAAAATACAAAAAATTAGCCAGGCTTGGTGGTGCATACCTGTAGTCTCAGCTACTTGGGAGGCTGAGGTGGGAGGGGGGGAGGATCACTAGAGCCAGGGAGGTCGAGACCGCAGCGAACAGTGATCACACCACTGCACTCTAGCCTGGGCGACAGAGCAAGACCCTATCGAGAGAGAGAGAGAGAGAGAGAGAGAGAGAAAGAGAGAGAGAGAGAGAAGACAGGGTCACACTGTGTCGCCCAGGCTGGAGTGAAGTGGTGTGATCGTAGCTCATTGCAGCCTCGAACTCCCAGTCTTAGGCAATCCTGCCACTTCAGCCTCCTGAGTAGCTAGCACTACAGGTATGTACCACACCTGGCTATTTCAGAAGGGGGAATTTTTAACCTAGAATTTTTGAAGCGTCCTATTCCGGGGGATTCTACTCTCATCTCTACCACACATACTTAGGGGCATAACAATTTATCTCTTATGAATTATTTTTAAAAGTAAACATGGAAACAAAAAATCTAAATGATTTTTAGATAAATAAATGCAATCATTAAAATCATGCTTTTGAAGAATATTTAATAACACTGGGAAATGTTCATAATCTAACATTAAATAAAAGGCAAGACAAAAAAAATTCTTGCAGAATCTCAGTTTTGAAATTGTACATATGTGCAAGGAAAAAGAACTGAAGAAAGTATAACAAAAGAGTAGTCTGGTAAACTTTGGATGGTAGTATATGGTGTGAATTTTATTTCCTTCTTTATAATTATTTTCATATTTTTGAAATTCTTAATAATAAGAATGTGTTACTTTTCTCATCAAGAAAAAAAAATCTTCTTTTTATTTATTTGCTTTCTAGATACAGGGTCTTGCTCTGTTGACCAGGCTGCAGTGCAACGGCAGGATCAAGGCTCACTGCAGCCTGAAACTCCCCAGCGATCTTCCTGCCTCTGCCTCTGGAGTAGCTGGGACTACAGGCAGGCGCCACTATGCCTGGCCAATTAAAAAAAAATTGTAGGACTGAATCTGGCTATATTGCCCATGGTGGTTTTGAACTCCTGGCCACAAGCAATCCTCCCACCTTGTCCTCCCAAAGTGTTGAGATTATAGGTGTTAGCTGCCGTGTCCAGCTGAAACTCCTCTTTAAAAATATGGATACAGCCTAACCTTAGGGAAATAGTTTTCTAAATTATGACAACTTCTTTCACTGCATATATGCAATCTAAAAACAGCACTTAGAAGACTGCAATAACTTGAGGAATTGCTTATGACACAGAAAATGTACACTATGTTTTCAAACCAGATTATGTTGTATATAACTAGGCTGAGGGGAAAGGAAACAAAAAGTAACTATTAACAGTGGTTGAAAAGTATAACACATACACATTGAAAGAAATTTTTTTAATTTAAAAGGGGCTGTTTATAAAAAAGTTTTAAAGGTAGCTCTGTGTTTTAAGACCCATATTCTACTTACTGCGATCGAGATAGTTTTTTTCCACTTTGAGGTTCTTTTTTTTTTTTTTTTTTTTTTTTAAGGGGCAGGAATATCATTTTGCATCAGGCACTGTAAAAAAAGGGGGGTGAAAGGGTAGGGTAGGAACCAGGATGTTGGGGAAAATTACTTCAATGTGTTGAGTCCGAAGCTTTTTGGAAAGCAGTGTAGATGCGATCTTTTTTGCTCTGAATCGAATTCCACAGAAACCGTTGTGCTGAATACTGTAAAACCTTAACTTTTATAAACGCCGACACCGAATTCACGCAAAACTACCCAAGTGAGTGCCAAAGACCATTTCTGGGAAGCTCATTCCTTAAGACCTTCGCATTTTTCCAAATAAAAGGCCTCCCTTCGGATCTGATTATTTCTCCTCTGCAGGGCTGAGGGAGAGGGAGGGGATGTGAGACTAAGGCAATAGATTAAAATTGAAAGTCCTTTCTCGCAGCTTCATTTTCGCCCTCACACTGTCCCAAATGCTTAGAATCCTCCTCGTCAGAATGGGAACGGTGCCCCCGCTTGTCCTAAAAGACGCAGACCAGGTCCGTGAACTTGACCCAGGCGCCCACGCCTCTTTTTCCCGAAGGTCCGACAAAGGCGGAAGGGTTGAATGGATTCTTTCCCGGGCCGCGAAGGCCTGGGGATCAAAAGTAGAAGAAGAGAAGACTGCAAACCCCTTTGGTTCAAGCAAGCTTTGTCGCAGGTAAAAGCCAAATTGGTGGGGGCGGGTAGGAAAGAGAGAGCATTACCCGGCTAACTCCCGCAGGCCTCTTCCGATTTGTCGGCGGGGACCTGCCTCCCTACGGTGTCTCTGGCCCCAGATACCGAGGCCGGGAGCTTTTCGTTGCCTCGCCGGATTTGGTATCTCGTTAGCCGGTGTCGCTGAGTCGCGGGGGGCTCCGGAGTGGAAAGGAAGCCCCGCGCTCGGAGCGCCCCATGCCAGACGGAGTGGCCCCCGCGCCTCCCTGAGCCCCGGCGCGCCGGGTTCACCTTCAACTGGATGTTACTGAGCCAGGGAGAGACCCGGGGATCGAGTGTTTGATCTTCCCTTGCTCCAGGATCCTGAATTCTTTAAGCACACGAGCGTGCGCGCGCGCACACACACACACACGCAGCACTACTACAGTCTGAGCAGGCCGCTCCTAGCAGCCTCCGCAGTCGGCGGATCGCCGGGAAAGACGCGCCGGTTTCCCGGGTCGGACGGCTCTCCAGGCCGCTATTTCCTCCGCCACAGAGTAGGGTGACGCCCCATTTGCGAAGTTGAAGTTTCCAGGTCCTGGGAAGGCGGCTGGGAGATCCGCGGGGCTCGGCAGCCTCTGGTGGCAGCCCGGGATCGGATAGCGCGGCGGGCGACAGCCCCCCGGGTAATCCCGCCGAGGGAGGGGCGCTTGCAAAACCGAGCTGCGACGGCCTCGTTACGACTGACTCGAACACTCTCTAATAATTCATCGGCCTTAGCTAGTATTCGTTCGTGTACGCATTTGTTTATCCTGATTATTAAAATAAATTAACGATTGGACTGCCTAAAATAAGGTAAACGAACATGAAATGCCAAGGAGAAAAACAGAAAAAGTTACACCATGTCGATCCTGACCAAAACATTGGCCTGACTTGCGGATGGCCTCAAGAATCCGGCTTTCAGCTGCAGACCCGGCGAGTGTTCCCGGGAAGGCAAGGATTGGAAGCTGTTTGATAAAGCCGCGCTGGCTTGGTGGGTTCCGCGTCCCTCCATAGCCCCCTCCGCCCTTCCCATCCACCCCTCCGCGTCTCGGCCTGGCTCCGGAGGGGTAAAGGAATGTTTATTGCCTGACTCAAGTTCAATGACAAAACCCTGCCTGGAATGGGAGGTGAGGTGAGCTTCAGCCATCAACCTGACAAAGGCTGGGCGCAGGTTTTGGGCGGGGACGACGGGCTGGGCCCACCTAGAGTCAGGCAGCTGAGAGTCCACAGGATGAGTACGGACCCCGCGGACCGAGAGCTGCTTCTCTGCCCTCCGCCTGGGGTCTGCGTAGTTTGGCGGGTAGTGCGGGTGCGTGCCCGCCTGGGTGGGGGTAAGGCGATCAGCGTCTGAGTGGGCAAGGGGACGTCTGATTACTGCCCAGGCTTCGCCCGGGGGTCCAGGACCCTGTGAGATGCCCCTGCTCTCTGCCCGTCCAGCTCTAGCTCACCTGGAGCAAGGATCCACACCGTCCTTCTACCCACCGCGACCTGCATTTTCTGGCCTCCTCCTCCGAGTTTTGCTCACATCTTCCCTCCCGGATTTGATATTCCAAGCATCTTCTCCAGGGAAGCCTCCCAGAAGCCGTGTGTGTGTGTGTGTGTGTGTGTGTGTGTGTGTGTGTGTCCTTCTCATTCCCTGTTCCCCGCCCTATTCCCCATTTGTTCTGATTGTGGTCATTTGGTCATGGAATATAATCCTCTGGCCTCAGGTCACATATGGGGAAGCTGCAGACCCAGGATCTACCAGCATATGAGTCAGGCCTGGTGGGAAGGGAGAGCATATTTCCTTCTCTTTCCTCCTGTCTTCCACCCCTAGTGGAAGATTTTGCTTACTCGATAAATGAGTAGTTGGTTGACATAAATGTCCACATGTGTTTAATCCCCCGTGCTTGCATATATGCAGATCTGTACAGTGCCTCAGGAGGGACTGGGTCTAGGGCATTTGGGTGCACCTGTGTGATCTCAGCTGGGTGACTTCAGATGGAAGCAGGTGCTTGTTAGTATCTGAAGGGCCTTGTGGGGAGAGGTATGTTGACAATGGAGGAGCCACTGGGCTTTCTATTTTACCAGTTGGTGGTAGAGGTTAAGCCCTCCTGCTTTGGGACCCAGATCAAGTAACTTACCCTCTTAGTTTCAATTTCTTTAGGTTATAAAGTGCTCACTCAATTGTGGATTTTGTCATTATGGGAGGGGGGAACTGGCAGGGAAGGAGCCAGCTGTGGGGAGAAGAGAGTTAGGTGAGTCCTGAGTGTTTTTGTGGATTACTATGCCCACCCCAAGACCAGTCCTGTCAGTGGCTGGCTGAAGATGTGAGCATGTGGCCCCCAGCCTGCTTCTGTGCTGGGCCCAGAGCCCCTGTACACACACATGCCTGCTGTGGCACTGATCTCACACTTACCAAGGCAGAGCTTCTGAGAGGGTGCAGGAAAGGGAATAAGGAAGCCAGGGGCCTAGAGAAAAAGGTGCAATTATTATTATTATTATTACTATTATTATTATTATTATTCGAGATAGAGGCTCGCTCTGTGACCCAGGCTGGAGTGCAATGGCATAATCTCAGCTCACTGCAACCTCCACCTCCCAGGTGTGAGCAATTCTTGTGCCTCAGCCTCTTGAGTAGCTGGAATTACAGGTGTGAGCTACCATGCCCAGCTAATTTTTGTATTTTTAGTAGAGACAGGTTTCACTATGTTGGCCAGGCTGATCTCAAACTCTTGGCCTCAAGTTATCTGCCCACTTTAGCCTCCCAAAGTGCTGGGATTACAGCCATGAGTCAGTATGCCTGGCCCGTTTTTATTTTTTTAAGGGCCGGAGTTTTTGCCTTAAGGATGAGTTCGTAAAAAAGAATAATAATAATTGTTATAATCACAGTTAACTTTCACCCAGTTTCCTTTTTAAAAAAATTTTATTATATAACTAGAGACAGGGTCTTGCTACATTGCCCAGGCGGGTCTCGAACTCCTGTGCTCAAGGAATCCGCCTGCCTCGGCCTCCCAAAATTCTGGAATTACAGGTTGAGCCACCATGCCCGGTCTCGCCCAGTTTTCAAAGTAGATGTTTTGTAAAATATTATAGTTTTAAATAATAATAACATTAACAATATTAATTTTGCTTGTGCCAGGACTCCATCCGATTGGAGACAAATATTAAGTCTTATGGCGGACCTTACAGCGGGTGCTAGTTCCCACTCCTAAGCCTCTCCCCCGCCCAGGCCCTGCAGGTCCCGCGTGCTGCGAAATAATTTCTTTGTCCCTTTCTGCCCAGGGCGGCTGCTGGTCTCCCCAGGAAACAGCGAGTAGGTGTTCCCGCCAGGTGGTATCGGTGAGAGCCTGCTGCTCACCCATCTCTTGTTTCCCAAAACCAGTGAAGGCTCCCAAATTCCTGGGAGACCGCCTCCTAGGGCTTCCTGAAGCAGCTACCATACTGAGAGATCCATCGGTAACGCCCTTGGCCCACCGATCAGCTAGTTTACCTTATTAGAGAGAAAAGCACTCTTGGAGGTAGTAAGGTGGGCCGGTCCTTGATCTGAGAAATGGGCGCACAACATCGCTGTTCTCTCTGCAAAGGTGGGGCCCAGAATCCAGCTTGCCTGAGCTCACAAGCAGGCATCGACCTGAAGGTTTCGGCCTCCCAGTGGCGCTCTGTTCACACACCTTAGGCTAGGAGAGGAAGGACGGGAGCACAGCACTGGGTGCCCCCCTCCCTGTAGAGTCTGGGGCGGGGCTCAGTGAGGAGGCCTGCGGTTGGTGGCTCCCCACCTCATAGCTGCAAGTCGGGGCGAAAGCTGGAGTGTCTCCTCCCAGCAGCCTCCTCGCCTCCCGGCAAACCTCCGAATCTCCCTGGAAACTCCTGGTTGCTGTGGCCCTTCCTCCCTTGACTGGCTTCCTCCCTCTTTCCCAAGGCCAGAGGTGTCCTCTCTTCCCCTCACCTTCCTCCCTCTTCCCAAAAAAACGTTTAGGAAAATGGGGGTGGAGACCATCAGCCTGGAACTTCAAGTCCAACTGCAAAGTCCCTGACCCTCCCCCGAGGCTGGCGCCAGCATTATTCTAGGAGCGATTAAACTATTTTGCTACCCCCTGTGCCCCTCCCAGTTCGGGGGGCAGTTTTAGGGGAGGAGAGGGGGTAATGGTGGAATTCTTTCCTTCACTCTCCCTACCACTTCCTCCCCTCCCCCTCATCCCCTCTACACAGAACTAACTGGCAGGGAGAGAGGAAGAAAGGCTGGCATTGGTTCCCCATTGGATGTTTTAAATCTGTCTCAGGCCCAGGCCAGGGCCTGTGGGGGAGGGGCGGGGTGTCCTGCTCTTGGGCGAGAGGCCCAGGGCTGCTCCTGAGCTTTCTCCCCTCTTTCCTGGAGAGCGACTGTTCGGGAGGGTGAGAATGGTATAAATTTCAAAAACAACGAAATCTTCTTTTGCCCTCTCCGCAGCAGTCGCCTCCGGGCTTTATTGCAAGTTTACGGTAACGAGTTCATTTATTTAATTCGCGGTTGTAGCTCGGGGATTTCTATTAGACAGGACGGGGTGGGGCTGGGGGGCACAGGGTCTCCCCTGAAGGAAATCTAATTAGAGTGCAGCACTTAGAACCTTGAATACAAGTTTAATGAAGGGGAGGAGGGGAGCTGCAGGGAAGAGAAGTTTGCTCTAAGCTGGGGAAGGAAAGCTGGAGCTGCTCCCGAGAACTGGGGGGTCTGGATGAGGCTTTTTCCTGCTTCGGGGGCTTTCTACCTTCCGGCCCCGGAACTACTACTTGGAGTACGGATCGCGTGCAGGGAAGGCGGGGTGGATTCTCGGCTGGCGGCTGCCTCGCAGGGTCCCCGAAGCTCTCGCCAGCCAGAGTAAAACCCAAAAGATGGAGCCTCAGGTTCGCACTCTGCGTTGCGGGTGCCGGAACCGAGATTCCAAAAGAGCTTCCGGAGGTGGTTTCTACGCATTGCGCCACTACTCCCTTACTCGGCTCTGGAGGCCTAATAACATCCACCTGCTTTGGAGTTAGAAATTATTTCGGGTCTAGAGTCCGCGTAGACGCGACCCTCCGATCCCGTTTGGTAGCTTGCTGAAAGACTCGCTGCGGGGGGCGGCGTTTGGCTCTGAGGGAGGGGAAAGGTCTGGAGGGCAGCTCAGAGTACAATTGTGCCTTGTTGGTGAAAAGGCACCCTGCTTATTTTCCGGAGTATATGTGTGTGCCTCTGCGTTTATGCGTCTGTGAGATCGTTGTCTGGATTCACCTATTGTGACATTGTGTTCACGTGTTTGTCCGAATGGTAAGCAAAACATTTCCTCCTGTAGCTTAACATAGCCCTTATTTAAGAGTAAATAGCTGCAGGCGAGTGTAGGTTTGTAGATTTTGTTGTGATTTAAACACAAATAAGTGAGAGATTTCAATGTGGTCGGCCGGGGATAGGTGGGAGACTAAAATTGTTTGGGAAGGGATTTCCAGTAAAAGGGTTTAATACAAAACGAAATTAAGTATCCTTTGCACAGATTCCATACAAGTAAATCCGAAAAAAAAGTAGGGGGTCCACCGCGAATTGTTATGGCGAGGAAGATAAATATATTACTAACGAAGACATGGACAAGGCGGATGGCGCTGCGGCCTGGCTCCCGGAGCCCGACCGCCTTCTTCCATTCGAGATCGCTCGTACCGAACCTCCTTGCCTTCTTCCTGGGTCTCTCAGGGGCTGGACCAATACATCTGCCGATGCCCTGGCCGAATGGCAGGCGACATCGCGTCCTGGAGCCGCCACACGCAGCCCAGTAAGTACCCAGGAGGCCCCAGGCTGCGGGAAGCCGGTAGCTCCGCGGGAGATGAAAGACTGCCCGCAAGTTCTCCTGGAGTGGTGAGCCTCTGCCGGGAGGGGGCGCCCTTGTCTTTTTAATGGTACTAACACACTAGTGGAATAAATCTCTAAGATTCCACATCTTTTGTTTGCTCTGAATTTATTGCGAGTGAAAAACAGAGAAGACCCTTACGTTTCAGTTCCTGATAGCAGAGTGTGGGAGTTAGAGCACGGGGAGTCCAGAGGTCCCAGACCCCCAAAGGCCTCTACCAGGGCCATCTCCGTTAGTGGCGGTGGCAGCCCCTCTTGTGGCCTTTTTCCTCTCTCCAAGGGGGCACCCCGCACCATGTCGCTCCCCCACATCTATCTCGCCGCCTCCCCACAGGCCCATCTGCGCTGAACTCTGGCCAGTTCTGAAGTCGGCGAGGGAGGGGTTTACTTGCCGGATCGTTGGTCGTTGGTCGGGTTTGAGCATATATAGACAGAGGAGTAAGAACCTGAGATATTAAACGCTACCCACATGGGGCTTCCTTGAAGGAGGACGTGGAAGGCAGAAAGTGATCTCCTCTGAGCGGTGCATGTAACCGAGGACCTTAAGCTGGATCACGGAGCTTGGACGATTTTTTAAATCAGGAAATCGACCCCCTCTTCCTCCTCCTGGTCCTCTTCCCCCGAACCCCCAGTCCCCATGAACTCACACTCTTTGGCCTTTTCCCTCAGCCTCGTGCTCCTCTTTGGTAAACAGATTTGTAGGAGTCTAAGTCACATCCCACCCTCACCCCTTCCCGGAAGAGGAGCCAGGGCTAGGATCCCACCCGACCGCAGGCCATAAACACTCGAATCCCTTGGCTTCGGCGGCTGCCGCGGGGTTTCTTGGAGAGCTGGCTCCGGAAGGGAAAGGTCCTCGAGGTAGTGGCGGACGCGGCCCCCTACCGACTGCTTGCCACCAACCCACTGCTCGCCACCGACCCACTGCTCGCCACCGACCCACCAACCCGCTGCTCGGAACTTCGGTTCTGCGGGTTCTCCAGACTTCAGGCCTGTGGGCTCAATTGTGGAGAATGGCCTGCAGGCCCACTCACTCCCACCCTCCACCCCCCACCCACAGCCTAAGATGCAGAAGGGCCCAGCACGAACCCGTTGGCTTTGCTGTGCGGCCAGGCGATGAGTCCCACAGGGCACTGAGCCCAGGTACAGGACATCAGAGAATGAACGCAGAGGCAGAGGTCCCCATGTCCCTCTCACAGTCCGGGCTCTGTGAAGAGCCCGTCTGTCTGCCGCTTCCAGAATTCCGCACTGTGGATCTGTCTACGTGGACCGGGAAAACAGGGTTGGCACCACTCTGCCACTGTTTGTGCCTGGGAAGGGCTGAGTAGGCAAGGCCACAAACATCTACTTCAATGGGCTCCCAAATGCCCAACAAACCATGACCTGCTTTGGTCAGAACCACCAGAAATACTAAAGGAAAACAGAGTTTGCGGGAGGAAATCCCAGGCACTTTCTCAAACCTTTTTCTCTGGAAGGAAGGACTGACTAGGGGTAGCCTGCTGGCTTCATTTTCACACGACGGCAAAATCATCATGTTAAGAATGGGGGCTTCCAAGACCAGTGGGTACAACCTATAGGGTGGACAATGAGGGAGGAAGAGACAACTTCTACAATTGTCCACCTGCCCAGCTGTCAGCTGAGAAAAATGCTAAACGGACATCACAGCCACATAAGCGAATCTGCCCTTTCCCCTGTCCTCAGTCTTGCTGCTGTTACCAGGATGGGAGGTGTAATGGAAGGGGGTCTGAGAGAAAGCTTCCCTGCAAGGGGATCGCCTTCCAAGTTTATTCATAATCAGCTCAATTCATGAAAGCGGTTTCTAAAGTGCTCTACAGAGCTCTAGATAGAAAATATGAGGCTAATGATCATGGCAGCTAGTACTGGTTATCGTGATTATTGCCACTGTCAGGATGAGTGATGATGACTGGGACAGATTCTCTGGGGACCCTGGTGGAGTGGGCTGTCACAAGGGGCTTCCCTCTACCTGCACATACTGGGTACCCAGGCCACTCCTGAGGAACAGTCCAGGAGCCAGTGGCCTGGGAAGGATGTTGTCTCTAGGGGCCTCTCAGCAGAGTCCGTGGCTCCAGCCTGGGCTTGGCAGGTTCCTGGTCTCCCCAGGACACCCCCACTTTCCCTCCTCCCACCCAGGCAAGGAGATCTCTTTAAGGAGTAGCGCTGTTCTTCACCTTGGCAAGAACCTTCTTCTCTTTGACCCGGCGGTTTTGAAACCAGATGGTAATCTGGCGCTCCGAGAGGCTAGTGGCTGCCGAGATCTTGCGCCTCTTGTCCTTGGTGATGAACTTGTTAGCCGCATACTCCCGCTCCAGCTCCCGCAACTGCCCCTTGCTGTATGGAATGCGTTTCTTGCGGCCGCGACGAAAGGCGCAGGCGTCAGGAGGGTGCTGCCCGCTGGAGTCTGCACGGCGGGAAAGAGAGGGAGGAAAAGGCACGGTCAGATCCCCACCCATGCAGACCCAGACCCTGCAAGCCCCAAGCTAAGTCATCCCACAGGTGCACACAGGTCACCCTACAGGCACACGTGCAATCCTGTTCCTCCAAAGCATACCGGGACACCACCCTGGCTTCCGGCTTGTTCTCTCACCACCGCTCAGCCGCCTTGGTTCCTGAAGGCCATCCTCACCCATCACTGCTCTCACACCCGCGAATCTGCAAACATACCCCCACACCACACACAGGCCTTTGCCCACCATCACATACGTCCACTCTTCATGCATTTCCAGACTCTTGACCACTCTTTTAGATTCTACCGGCAAATTCTGGAAACACGTTTCTGCTCCCATTCCCACTACATGCATATACACACACGCGCACACACATACACACACATCCACCCATCCCAATGCACATATCTATGTCATGACTGCAGGAAACCTAAATTTTTCTTTTTGGAATTGGAAAACTCATCTAAAAGAAAGTGAGGGGTTGTATTCTCTACAGTACATCCCATCTCCCACACCCACTCCCCACTCACCGAATTGAGAGTTATTTAGCCTTTGTGTAGAATTAGTCTGGAATTGTGCTGGGTAGGGACACCCTGATCCCCACTCAACAGCAAAGAGATCCAAACCTCTCAGACATGTTGAAAGGCTGGTCCCAGGGCCTCCTGGAGAAGGGAGGTGGCCCTCAGGCTTCAGATAGCACCCAGCTCAGGACCCTCACACAGACCTCCATCCAGGCCCTCCATCCAGCTGCCTGGACCCTCCTTCAGAGTCCTAATTACCAAGGGAGGAGCACCAAGCTCATCCTCACCAGCCCAAGTCTCCCTCCTCCTCCTCCCAGGGAAATGCCAGTGGGACCCACAATCCCAGGCTCAGAGACAGGGGGACCCAGGGTAATAGAGGTTACCTGCAAATGCTGCCTTCCAGAAGGGACCTGGTGGGTTCTGTTCTCCCTGGCAACACATCTGACTGTTCCAGCCACCAGCGAGAGCCCAGGACTGGTAACTGTCCACGGGCAACAGGGAGTCATGTCGCGGTTCCCCGGGAGCACCCAGAGTCTGCACCACAGACACGTCCAGGTAACTGGCCATAGGCTGGTAGGTTCCCGGATATCCCGGATAGAAGGCAAACTCAGTAGGGCGGCTGGGGTACTCTTCCCCGGCCGTGGGAGTCTCCGCGGGGTAGGCAGCCAGGGTGGCTGCCTGGGCACAGGGTTTCAGTGAGCTCCGGGAAACTCGGCAGGAGTAGTACCCGCCTCCAAAGTAGCCATAAGGCACGGGAGCTGGGGACGTCCCCTGGGGCACCCCGGGGCATGGGTGGCATTGCTTTGGCGGCTCCGCCGAGCCTGGCAGATCCAAGGGGGCATAGTTGACAGCAGGCATCAGCGTAGGCGCCGCTGGGTGGCTGGTCAGAGGGGAGTGGGCGACCAGATTCCGCCCACCTCCCGCTCCCAGCAAGCCTTCGATATCCTTGGCTCCATCCAAGGTGGCATAATTGCCGGGCTCCATGGAGCCGAGGGTCGGCTCATGAGGTGCGGGGGCGGGGAATCTAGGGGGCACCCAGCTCGCTCTCCCCACCCAGGCCCGGGGAATCCAAAGCGTTTTAAATCGCTCCCAGCTCGCAAGGCGCCTGCATTCGCTCAGCACGGCCGTCTTGACGCAAGAGACGCAGGGGCCCGGGCACACGCGCTGATTGGCTGCGGCCTGGGGGAGAGAAGCTAATAAAATCCTAAAGGCAGAAACTGCGAAAATACTTTACCCCAGCTTATTTTTTCTCTCTCGCTCTTTCTCTCTCTCTCTTTCTCTCAGCTCTCTCCTCTCTCTCTCTTTTCCCTCTCCACTCTTCTCTGTCTCTCATTGCACTTAAAAACAACACGAGAGAAAAGGAAGGAGGCGTCCTTTCGCTGCTTTCCAGTTTGCAGAGTCCCAGTTCCACGTCCGGGGGGAGGGGAGGCGTGGTGGGCGGAGGGAGAGGGGATGAGGAGCCGGGCCCCACCTCTCTCTCCTCGCCTCCCTCCCTGGCTCTCTGTCTCCTGCGCTTTGGCAGGTTTAACAAGAGAATAAAAAGCTCTCCCTATAAAGTGTCCATCTCCTGGGGGGGAAGGGGAGTCGGGGGTGGGGCTTGGAGGCCGCTCCCGACCTCAAAGGAGAACCCGGGAATGCGCCTGTGTAAGAGGAGGCTGGGAAATGGGGGTTAATGGGTATTTCTGGCAGCCCCTGGCTTTGGGTCCTGGGTACTAGCACTCTGGTTCATTCCCGGTACGCTTCCTGTCCCAGATGTCCTGGAATGAGCTGCTCCGGGCCCCAGGGAGGTGCCCTGGACGCCCCTTGCCCAGGGACTCACTACTGCCCAGAATGCTCTGGAGGCCCTGATTCGGGTGAGGCTGAGGGAAGAGGCGGGAGACACGAACTCAGACGTAGAAGACGCGCGATCTAGACGGAGCCCAGGACACTCCACGTCGGGACGTGAAGGGGAAATGGAGCCTCTAGAGTGGCCTGTGGAAGGGTCTGGATTTCCCTTTAAGTGTGGGGAAAGACGTACAGAGGAACGGAGACCCACAGGACTTGAGGGAGGGACTGGGAGAGGGAGAGATGAGACCCAGAACAGCAACACAAAGAGGGAAAGAGAG